GGCACATACATCTATTAACTTTGATGATGATTGTTGAATGGTGCCAAGACCATGGCACATGCATCTATTAACTTTGATTGTGATTGCAGAATGGTGCCAAGACCATGGCACATACATCTATTAACTTTGAAGGTGATTGTTGAATGGTGCCAAGACCATGGCACATGCATCTATTAACTTTGATTGTGATTGCTGAATGGTGCCAAGACCATGGCACATACATCTATTAACTTTGAAGGTGATTGTTGAATGGTGCCAAGACCATGGCACATACATCTATTAACTTTGATGATGATTGTTGAATGGTGCCAAGACCATGGCACATGCATCTATTAACTTTGATTGTGATTGCTGAATGGTGCCAAGACCATGGCACATACATCTATTAACTTTGATTGTGATTGTTGAATTATGCCAAGACCATGGCACATGCATCTATTAACTTTGATTGTGTGTCTGTCATTGTCATTGGACAATGCACATTCTTTTGGTTTTTGGTTAATATCAGTGCATATTAATTATGTAATTTGCAGAATTAGTTAATTTTCAGCTTTTCCGCTGATAATTCAAGTTCTAATCATTACATATCAATGAAACTATGTACATAGATGCTCTAGGACTTTGCACGCACTGATTAGTTTTGATTTAAAATCTGTGCATATTAATTCAGGATCAATGCTAAAGACTTGATTAGTTTTGGGTTGCAATTCAAGCATACTAATTGCCTAATGTGCATAATCATTGAAATTTGTCAACAGGACATATTTGGTATTATATTGATTATCTAACTATTATTAGCCCATTTCTGATACCTCACTGTTATGTTCATTCTGAAAACAATTATTACAATAAATATGATATACTAGTATGGAAAATTAAGAGTGGTTGAGATTTTACTGCCCTAGGAGATTCATATTGTGTATTTTATCAAATCTCGCATTTGATGAAGGATACGTTTTCTAGACTGCCTTGAGAATCGTTTTTATTGGTCACCATTTTAATTGCAGTCTATGCCCCATGATTATTTCATTACTGTCTAAAAAAGAATTGTAGCATTGGTCATCCCATTGCCTCACTAAAACACCACTATTTTCTTTTAGTTGTTTCCAACTGTTATTCTCCATTTTTCGTCCTACATCATTTTAATATCATGCAAACATAAATTGATTGAATAATCCAGATAAACATTAATGTACATTTTAAGGCTGTTTAGATTATTTTCAGCACAGTTTGTTGCATATAATTCCTCCATAGTATGACAGAGTATTTTTTTAAATATTGACGTTAGATGATTGTGGGTGAAAAAAAAAACAATACATTGTTTGTATTGTACCATCAGTTGTTGTATTAAACTAATCCCTGGATGAAAATATTCACATCTGTTGCATCTTAATCATCTAGTCAATTAGCTTAGTTTATTTGTTCTCATGTCCCAACTATTTTGTCGTAAATTTATTTCAATGAAACTTGTGGAATTCTACTGAAATCTGTCTGATTCCCTCAATGATGCTATCAAACTGAGAGAGACACCATCTGTGTTTAACCGTTTAAACCCAATAATTTTTCTTGCCAAAAAGTTGGTGGAACATTTTTTTTGCAATTTATATGTAATAATTTCTTTGTTAATTTCGCCCCAAAACTTGATCAAAATTTGTAGAAACTATGCGCATAAATTTTGTACGTCTATTTTGTGAATCGTGACAGCAGTTGACCTTGACATTCAAAGCGTGTTTATGTTTTGTTTTCAATTTCAACTAAAGTAAATATAAGGTTGATTAATTATTTGAATAACTAGACATTTTCCCCGCTACAATAAATATTGTGCGAACAAGTTATCTGATTGCACAAACCACATAATTTTTGTTGACTTTAGTAATAATTTACATAAAAACACAAATTACTTGGGCTTCTTTCTTCCTCATACTCGTAAATTACAACTTTCATCATCAAACTTTTCGTACTGTCGATTTACGATGTGACGGAGACCTTTAAAATCAGTTCCAAATTGTGTTAATTTCATCGCATTTAAAGAAAATAAGTTTGCCCTAAGATGGTTAATCGGCACATAAATCTGAATGTTAATATGTATTTGAGAATATCATCTAAATGGCATAATTCCACTGTCTATTGCACATTCATATTTCCATTTCTTTTTTATTTCTATATTTCTTTGTAATTTTGAACCCAAATTAATGTAATTTCCCATGACGTTGATAAAAATCTTTGTGGGGGGGGGGGGGGGATATTATACAGGTTTATTCTGTGGAAGGTGACACAAGTTGATTTTGTGGCACAAAGAGTTAATAGAGAAATAGACCAGATGTTATTATTTAGGATATATCTGAAAGAGGATTAGGTGTAACTTTGAGACACTATTCAGATTTGTGTATATACCGTTTCCTTTCTCTCATATTAACCACATTTTGCAGTAGCTTATACGTATGTGGTAATATGCTATAGGGAATGCGTACCTACTTATTTTTGTCTGACACTCCAATCATCCTCAATAGAGGACTTTGGCGATAATGATGTCATTATTGGGACTGCACAGCGATATTTTAATTCTTTAATGTCGTGATCGCAAAGCTTGCCTATCCTGAGTATACATAAACACTGTAATCAGACATACTGTCTTACCCCATTGTTATCAAAGATTGATGCCCTTTGATGGACCATTCAAGGCTATCACTCAAACTGGAGCAATTACAACTTTTTATTACCCAGTGCCTTCAATTATCTTTGTCAATTACGCATGGGGAGCGAGCGTATCTAGCGAGAATTTTATGCACAAACCTTGCGTGACTTGCAAGAACTGAAATTGAGGCATGTGATTATTAAAATCCGTCCCCGATGTGGATGTTTTATCATGATAACAGCACTCTGTTGCTTCTGTATAGATCTTGAGAATATTTTATTTCATGTCTATTACAGCGTCATTCATTATGTATTAGGTTTCGGATAACTGCAGCAGATATTTTGTTGCTCATCAGATGTTCTCTAAAACCACCTGTGAGTTGCGGATTTGTTTGAAAATTATTATTGGTTGGTTGAATTTAATATAGTCAACAAAAATTCTATGACTGCTTATGCTGCCGGTTCATACGGTATTACTTATAGCTCTTTAATATGTATATATCATAATATACAACATATTATACAGTACCTTTAGGACAATAAATACAATTAGTATCCACAGCGTTACACACCAGGGACGATCACATAATAGAACCGCAGTCTTTTGAATATGTGTCTAATTTGGCCCATCAACATGCATAGTTTATTTGATCTATTATTTATGATGCAAAGGACATAGATAAATATTTATTTGACAGATGGGGGGGGGGGTCGTAGTATTGCTCAAATGAGGTGTGTCAATGGTCAAAATAAGTTAAATTGTGCTGTTTTGTTCAAATAAAGACAGCAAGATTGCATCACATAGCAAACTCACGAGATGTACGGTATACTTTCTCAGATTCAAGAGTTGTTCCACTGTGACAATTTCGATACCACTGTGACAAGTTAACAACCATGTGGCATAGATGGAACACTGATAACGGTGTTGGTTGCTTCTCATTTTCATGTATTATCTCCCTGTTATTCTTCTACCACCAGATGTTCCATTGCAGCGAAAAACTGAAAAGAAAAAGAAGACGAAACAATCAGATCGTGCCTCCGTGACTAAGAAGGGTGAAAAGAAACATGAAGGTGTAAGAAGTGATCTGCTCTCAACTGCTGAGGAGGTAGGGTTATTTTTATCCATATATGAACTAAATGAGGACAAAATGCTCATGGTTTCTTGTTCTGGATGTTTGTGTTTTGTACATTATCTGTGTTCGTTCAAACATTTGTTTTACTGCAGCTGAGGAAATAAATTACCTGCACTAAGTTTGTTGTTCAGTGGTTTTGTTCAAGGCAAATGTCTCCGACAGTTCTTTCTATTATGCAAACTTCACCGCAAAATAATGAAAACATTTAAATGTGTTATGGTTGTACCCAATGTACAGAGAATTGATGTGCCCAATACCATCATGTTTTTGTTTTGTTTTTATGGCGGCAGGGCAGGGGGGGGGGGGTAAGCTGTGGTTTTGTTGTGATAGGTTGCTAGGAATGTTTGGAGATGAAGTGAGTGATGTACATGTCTTCCTCGATTGACTGACACTACATGGGTTTATGACAAGCCATGTGTTCCTTGATTGACTGACACTACATGGGTAAATGACCAGCCATTTAGTTCCTGGATTGACTGACACTACATAGGTAAATGACAAGCCATGTGTTCCTTGATTGGCTGACACTACATAGGTAAATGACAAGCCATGTGTTCCTGGATTGACTGACACTACATGGGTAAATGACCAGCCATTTAGTTCCTGGATTGACTGACACTACATAGGTAAATGACAAGCCATGTGTTCGTGGATTGACTGACACTACATAGGTAAATGACTAGCCATGTGTTCCTGGATTGACTGACACTACATGGGTAAATGACCAGCCATTTAGTTCCTGGATTGACTGACACTACATAGGTAAATGACAAGCCATGTGTTCGTGGATTGACTGACACTACATAGGTAAATGACAAGCCAAGGTGTTCCTGGATTGACTGACACT